AAACAGTGTTCTATCTTTCTCTTATTTCTTGTGACATTATGATGATGTTCAATTCCCAAAATGTTTCCACGGCATGGTGATCATGTTGAAGATCATTTGAGACCACAACCATTTTGTGAGTCTTGTAGCATCCCATTTGGCACACTTTGGATGAATAGTTTATTTGTCCGTAGCTCGAACAGGAAGACCACTACTTCCCTAACAGCTCTTTATGATTTCAAGAACACGCAACCTTGCCATTGAACATGAAACAAGAAAATGGAATGTTTACTAGCTGCTGTTCAGAGTGCAGAACTGCACTCAGCTAGGATGATGAACATCATTATGTTTTTTTGCTGCTTTGTTGGGAAAGATTTTTCTGACGTGCAGCTTTCAAAGTTTGCGTTCGAGCTGCTTTGACTTTTGGAAGGACTTTCACAACTCTGCGGACAACTTGTTTGCAGGATATGAGTGTCTGTATGACACTTCCTCGAATATATATGGACCATTTTTTCTTCTTCTCTGCGTCTTCACACTTTTCCTTTTTTGAATGGTACCTTTCTCTAGCCTTAACGTTGTCTGCTCTTTCCTTCTGACTTGACCAGGATGCTGTTATCTATCTTGTGTCGCTTTTCCATTTCTTTCGTTAGTATCACTTGCCCAACAAACCTACCTGCTGCAACTTTGCTAGTGGTAGTGGAAACCAATGTGAGGTTTTTTCATTCTTGCTTTTCCTACATTTCTTAACTTGTTCGTCGGCCTTTGCCCTGTGATTTGCCACCTTCTTTTCCCAGCCGAACGTCTTCAGCTCTTTACGATTGCACATCGATGTTACCTTTGTTTACTTTAATCGGTCGTTGTATTCCTTAGTTGGCTCAGTGTTTAACTTTATTGTAATAACTGTGTATTTCTTTTCAAAATATCGGCACTTGAAAGCAATGCATTCAGAGATCTCTAGCGCAGAGCACGAACCTAGAGTACTGTAAAGTTGGAAAGAGAATGTGGGAGCGGGAGGGGTAGAAGAAAAAATTGTACTAATCAGTTTTGTCACTGAATTAAAAGAGATTAATCCGTGCTGTACTTGGTCGAAAATAAGATTGTGCTGCATTACTGTTTTGTATTCTTTTATTAAAGTAATTAGCAACAGAAAAAGTAGTCACAAATTTTTGTTTTGAAATGCATTATGAATAAAGTGAATATAAACTTAAAAAGATGTCATTCATCACTTATGTGGTCTTGCTTGTCTTATCATAGTCCACGACGATAAAATCGGCTACTATGTCCTAAAAATATTATTGGGACAACACTTGTTACCAAAACTGTGGTCAAAACGATTTAGCCCGTGTAACCATTAAGACCAATGTATAAACTTACTTTCCTCTTGTTAAAGCCAATATTAACTTTTGATGAAAACTAAGGGCAAAGCTACTATGTGGACAAAGCGAAGCAGCACGGGTGGGTCACTCAAATAAAACCAAAAGGAAAAACGGACTTTACTAGCCATACCAGGAACGGCACCAAGTGAGGAGATGCCAGGAGAAATTTCTGCCGACGTACTATCGCTTTCATCACTTGAAATGTACATGCGTGCACACGACACATTATTGACAGCATGCTTGACACTAGTAGATCTACATAATTTCAGTGGTGATAACAAGAAAGGAAAATTAGGAGAGTTAGTGAAAACTGTTTGTCAAAACAAAAATGAAAAATAAAAGCAAAGCACATAATGAATTTACTTTTATTCAAAGAAAAACATAGAATTGGCCTCTTTTCAATCAATTTGTTGACCTAGATCTACCTGTCCGTCGGTTCTCTATAACGTTCCCTTCTCAGTAGTCCTTCAGGTGAGTTTAACCATGAACATTTCAAGCAGAGAGAATAAGGAATCACGACTCATTCAAACGGAATCTACCTATCTGCTTTTGTCGTCTAGCAAATTTCTCTTCAAGGGGTGAATTTCACCAAACTAATGACGCATTTAATTAATCGGGTTCGCCTACTCCTTTCTTTCTTTTTTCTTTGTAGTTACCTCATCGATCAGGAGAAAAGGCGCCAATATTTTTCTGTTCATTTTCAACTGAAACTAAAATTGACATGGAAAATCCCATACCACGTCGCATCACTTGCATCGCCCTCTTTGCCTTGTTCCCGGAGTTTACGCTTCGTTTTGCCCCACCAAGCCTACAGTATGACATTACCCAAAATATACTTTGTATTTCCTTGACACATGGGTCCAAACTCATCCGTTTCCTTGAGGGACTCTTAGATTTCATCAAAGAATCACACATCTTGCAGTCATATAACAAAGAAAGCAAATTTTAAGGCACTTCAAGGCTTAGTCATTACTTACATCTTAATCGTTAAACCCCTAAATTTGCGTGACGAAGTCATTCATATTCACTTTCTATAGACTCTGTTGTCTTGCTGGGGAATAGATGAAAGCCAAGTTGATTGGAAATCAGTGCATTTGACATAAAAATACCAAACTAAAATTTCGAGCAACTTCCGGCGGAAGTAAATACGCAGATCTTAATCATTAAAACGTGACAAAAATTCACTGACGCAACTATTTACCACCAAAAATTCGTAATCGCTGTAGCAATTTTGTTCTTGGTAGATGAAATGACAAAAGTGATCGTATTTCTCATTCTACAATGAAAAATTACTCTTTTTGAAAGATCGATTGGACTGAAGATAGGGTTACTGTTTTTTACCATTTTATGGACGAGACGTTTAGCATTTAAGACCGAATTTTATGTCCTTTGTATGAAGAAATGGGCCGTTATAAGCATATATTTGTTGGTTACCCTGAAAGTTCTACTTAAGATCAGTACAAGTATTAAACCCTTAATTACGACAATGAGATGCAGACAAATCTTAGAAAAATCTTAGGATGAAAACTGTCTCTGGTGAATGTTACGTTTTCATACCTAAAAAATGCTGAATTTTTAACAAAAAAGCCCCACACTGTTTCAGAATATCGTTTTATTGGATATTTTCTGCCTAGTCCAGGTTCGGCAACCTTTTCACCACCGGCTAAGCTCATCTTAACTATGATTTCAAATAAATACAGATTTTTATGTTGTGTGTGGTAAAGGGTATGTGCAAGTTCAAGTTTTCAGGAAAATTGCCCATATACAAAAATCATGCGCTAATACAAAAAGAAGGGATATGTCTATTTTTAGCGAAAACCCCAGAAAACTCCCGAAACCCATGAAATACGGAAAACCCCCCCCATAAATAATATGAATATATCTATTTGGCATTCATCACCTCATGTGACTGTATAAAAACGAATGTTACTGTATAAAAAACAAATGTCAAGAAGAGCTTTTTTGTGTTGCAGAACTCTGCGTTTATTTGTCATCAATGTGTTCACTTTCACTAAAGAAACACCCATATACACACACACATCACGACACGGTGGACTCGGGTGCTCGTCAATATTTGGGCATATAAAAAATAATATATTGTGGTCTTAAAACTTATTTATTTGTCCTTCTTTCAGGGAAAAAAATACCCATGTATTTTGAATATAAGTCGATATGCGATTGAAGGAGGTGAGGGTAACCAGTTTTCTAAGGTAAAATTTTGCAAGAAAATTGCTGCCAAAATTTGGCAAACACAAGCTATAGAGTTTAAAATCTGAAAATTTACATATTTTGTGCCATTAATCAGCGTTTTGCAGTAAACTTCGCATGGAAATGTATTTTTTTATACGGACATAAAAGGTGTTGAGCCAAACAAAAATTTGACAAAAATTGCCAAACTGGAGGAAACACACGTTTCTCTGATTTCGTCATTTTTACGAACGCCTGATTTCACCGCGCTGCCTCACATATTTTATATATATCTATATCTATCTATTTAAAAAACTTACTGGTGAATCTGGCTTAAAGGCAGGTGGAGCGTTCTATGGAATTGCTTCCGCAGTTTCTGCTGAAAATTGCACAGAGATTAAGACATTGCTACAATGTGAAATGATTGAGAAATGCAGGGTACCCAACAGGGATCTCTTGACTTCTAGCCCGTTATATACTATCGCCTCATCACTGAACTGTGAACCTGAATTCACAAGTCAGTAGGCTATGCATGCACTGGTAATGAGTTTTCAGTATTTTTTAGGGTTTTCGGTATTCTAAGGCGTTTTCGGGGGGAGGGGGGGGGGGGAGGGGGGGGGAGTATTAGGGGTTTTTTGAGAGTTTTCGGGGGTTTTCGGAAAAATGTCAAACCCAACAAGAAGAACTTTTTCTTGGCAAGCACATTGTCGAAGATGGGTCGAAAAGAAAAGTGCTTGTCTTAGACAGGTTGACATCTTGTACAGGTGCTCATTAGATTCGGTTTGACTGTTTGTATAATATAAATAATGATTAGTTCTGTGACTCTCTGCCTTTCCTCTAACTCTGGCTTCTGGCATTTAACATGTGGCTCAGCATCAAGTTTTTTTAGTTTTGGTGACTTGAGTGTTTAGTCTAAAATAAAAGGTAAAGAAAGGTAAGTGGTGCTGACTATGGGGATAAGATAGGGACAGGGCAGTCTTGGTGTTTCATGAAATATTGGATGAGCTAGGATTGAATGAATGTATGAATGTATTTGTTAAATTTGTCCCTTTTTTCTTTGAAAACCAGAAATGAAAGTCCACTCATGCACTCAGGATACAGTTTTGTTTTCTTCATGGTGAGCTTTTTGTTGCATTACTTATTTTTTACCTCTGGAGTGTGTTACAGCTGATAATGATAAAATATAAAAATGTGGTTCTGACACCTGTTTGTCTTTCTACTCTGGGTTATTGAATATTGAAACATAACCTGACAGGTATTTCTATATATATTTAAAAAGTGTACGTTATATACATCGTATCCTTCACGTACAGAATTAAACCTTTTAAAAAGCTTGTTGTTCTAGACCAGGAAATTCTATATTTATATACACTCTTATCCTCCTCCCCCCCACCCAAACACTCATACACACAACCTGTGTCTTTCGTGGTTCATTGTGTATTTTCGGTTTGTTTTGATGCAGCAAGCCTTGATGTCTTTTGAGGAAGACAAATTGGCAGAGGCCCTCAAAGTGCTGCAAGAAACTGAAAAGAAATGTTCTACCAGTGACGGTTTTGTCAAGTCTTTCCGGAAAAAGTTTTCCAAAAAGAAGAAAGTGAGTACTGCTGGGGTGGGATTAGGAGGGGGCGGTTAGGGGTATGTAGTTTAGGACATTTTTATTTGAAGAGAAACATACCCATTAATGACCTAGCATTAATATCATCAGAGACAGTTTACATTAATGCGTAAACAAGTTTTTTTACTCATGCACTATATTTTTTCTTTTTTCTTTAAAAACAATTTTTTTTTTTTTTTTAAATGTTATTATTTTTTTAAAAGAATTTATTAATTAATGGTTATTGCAATATTTGCTTGACTTATAGAAAAAAGTATGAAAGTTCACATTTTTATTTGCTTTTATTTGCTTGTATTTGCATTACACATTTATTTACCATAGTTTGTCTGTTACTAAGATTTTTGTTCCTCAAACTACTGTTTTTTAAAGGATTCTCTAGAAAACTCCTATTTTTCGTCATGGAGTTGTAGGCTGGTCTGCAATTGTAGTACAAACAGATATTTCTGACAAATGAAAAAAAATAAAAATTGCAGCCAAAAATAATAACAATATTTTAAGTGATGAAGTATTTTTTGTGTGTAATTCCTCTTCGCCATGCCCCCAGAGTTCGGAAGAAGCGTGGATGACAGAAGAACGAATCACCAACCAGGTCATAGTTGCCGACTGTGTGCTGTACCAGGCCGTCCTCGTCTTCACCAACCAGGACATTCCCAGCTACGTAAAAGGAGGCTGGCTGCTCCGCAAGGCCTGGAAGATCTACGAGAAACTGCACAGGTAAGACGTAAGGGGGAATATGCAGGCAAAATTGTTGTCTTGGAAAGCTGCCTATTGTCAAGGAGACAGGTGGTTATCTTAGACAGGTGGCTATCTTAGACTGGTAGTTGTCTTGGATTGTGTCATTATGATTCAGAAAAACCTTGCGCGGGG